CTGGCCAAGCGTGGGGCTGTGGGTGGGACCGAGGGGCGATGGCAGAGCTGTGTGTAGCGGGGTCCGCAGGACAGTGGTAGCGGAGTATGTAAGAATGGCCACATTGGCTCAGACCAAGGGGCTGTCACGCCCAGGAATAGGGCCGTGTGATCCAATCCACGCTTCTGGCATTTGGCGATTTAGGAACACCCAGAACATGAGGTAGTGTTGCGGACTGCCTTGGCTAATAGCCGTCGGTGAACCTTTCCTTCATGAGCATATCTAATTATTTTCTTAACCTAGTTGTAGGTTTTGGCCTTCACCACATCCTCTGGCAGGGAGTTCCACAGGTTGATCGTGTGACAAAATACTTCATTTTGTTTGTTTTCAATCTGCTGCCTTTACATTTGATTAGGTGACCCCAGTAGGGATCTGAATGGTTAACCAGGAAGCCTCGTGCTTAATGGATGTTCTGGTTAATTGGGAGGGACTGGAGCAACTCCCCGCCCATCACAGGCAGAGGGTGCTCCAGCCCAGCCCAACTGGAATGGTCCCCCCGCCTGTCCCCCTTCAACTGGTTAATCTGTTAACATATTGTTTACCGGTTAACCAGTTAATGGGGATTTTTCATCCCTAATATCCAGCCTTTTGCCTTGGGCCCCAGCAGATCCAGCACCCGCCCTGCTCTCTGTTTTGTTTAGAAACCTGCTTGCAGCCCCGAACTCCCAGTTGGGAGCCACTGGTGGACACTACAGAGTTAGACGGACGCCAGGCAGCTGCTATGGAGAAGTCAACGTCTAACTCGCCAGCAGCACTGCCTGGCCAGCCCGCTCGGTGGTGCAGCCGGGAGGGCCCGCATGGGTGGGCCCTGGCGTTGGGTGGGTGGACAGTGATGGGGGCGGGGTTAAGCCCCAGCCCCGGTGCCCCCACCTGGCTCCCCAGCTGCAGTGCCAGCTGGGGGATTAGCTTCGGTGCCCCCCGTGCCCTGACGAGCGCAGAGCAGGGCAAGCGCTGGGGTACCGGGAGGGCTGCGGAGGGGGCCTGGATGCAAATTGGGGGCCCTCCCTGAACAGCTTTGCTCCCCGAGTGGCCCGGTGGAGGCCATGTCGGCGCAGACCCTGCGCTGGGGCGTTGTCTCTGGCCTTCTCCATCCCTCTCCTGGTCGCCCCTGCCGTGGGGCTGGGCTTGGCGGTCGCGGCAGTGCAGGCCCTGCGTGGCTCTCAGGAGCCACCCTGCAATTGGGAACCGGCTGGGGCTGCTGTGTGGCCCTGTGAGGGGGTGGGGGCTGCCCCGGGGTTAACCCGTCACCCGCAGCGTTTCACCAGGTAACTTGTTAATGGCAGTTCCCATCCCCCCTCAGGGCCCGCGCCGGAAGCACAAGCCACACCCACGCTGGCGGGGCGCGGGCTTC